CCGTATCTAGGTTGCGACGGGCAATCTCAGGCTTCAGGTCTCGTATTAGGAGGAACTTCAGGCTAAGGAAGCTCGTCAAGGTTAGGCTCAGGCTTAGGAAGAAGGACGCGACAGGTTAGGATCGTCGGAAGGAAAATCGTCGAGCGCAGCAGGCTTAGGAAGGCCGATATACGCCACGGACAGGGCAGGGGAGTGTTTATCGTATCATCTCGACCTCCCTCTCCTCCGCGAGGTACCAGAGACCTCGCTCCCTCCTCCGCAACCGTCAACTTGTACCAACGACCCCCCCCATCGTTTTCACCGATACCTAGAATTCCCTTCCGCGTCGTCCACGCACCGGGGACTCGCAATCACCACAACTGGAGCCCACCGCGAGGGGGATTTCGTTGGTAAAATCTTGTTGACCCAACCCCGGGTGCCACGTCATCCTGCCTATCACACGGTCCCGAGCGAAAACTCTCGCTACCGTCCCTAATCGTTCAGAGCCTCACACCCCTACAAGAAGTCTACTCGAGGAGCTCACTATCGCACATCACTCCCGGACTCGCCGTACGACCCATCGCTCAGGGTACCCGCACTAGACGGCATTCCCCTTCCGCGCGCTGACGACAGTGACGGAGAGAACCCGTTCCTCGATCCGGCTGACAGCACCCTCACCTCCGCACCTGCATCATCACCAACTCGAAGCTCAGCGTCGAGCGAGTCGATCCCCTTAGCAAACGTACCTCGGCGGCGAGCATACTCTACCCCGTCCGCGCTATCCTCCTCGACCAAGTCAGTGGGCAGCCCCGTATTGGTGCCGGCCTCAGTTCCGCTTCCTCCCTCACCATATCCCATCAACGTTCCACTTCCAGAATCGCCCGTCTCAATATACGCATCACTGCCGTCGTCGCCTGTCGACGAAACCATACCCCTGCTCGTAGTCCCTTTAATCCCGTCTCTCGCCATTCCCTCCGACATATCGGAGACAATTTCCTCCGTCTCATCTGTTACTCCCTCCGACGAGTCTCGAGCTCGTTCCCCTTTCCTCCGCACTCCTTCCGCCCAACCAGAAATTAAAATGGCCGCTATCCAGCCACGCAGTATGCCCGTCCGCGGGGATCGCATTGCTCCGAAATTCGATGATCAGCCCCGGTCGCTCGCGCGTTACTTCGAGGACGTCTCTGATCTTCTAGGGCTCGCGAACATCACTGTCGACGAGGAGAAGATTCGGTACGCTCAAAGGTACCTGAACCCTGATCAGCATGAGTTGTGGGGCACTGTAACCGTCCCCGACAACCCGACGTTCGAGCAGTACAAGGAAGGGATCGTGAAGCTGTATCCTGGGTCGGACGGAGCATCCAAGTATCTAGAAACCGATCTGGATGCAATTGCGGCGGCCGGGCTGAGTGCCGGGACGGACACGCGCAGCGGGGAGGCAGAGTTCTATCGGAAGTTCCTTCCGGTGGCGCGCTACCTGATGACGGAAGGGCTGGTGTCGAAGTCACAGGTGCACCAGAAGTACCTCTCTGGATTCGACGCGAAGTCGGCGGATGCGATCCGTCGGAGGGTCGAGATTGTCAACTCTACGGTCGACCCCGCGAAGGGGTACAGCCTTGAGCAGCTGCATGGGGCAGCGCAGCAGTGTCTCAGCGCGGTCAGTTACGGCGGCGGAGGCAACACCCAAGGTGGGGGTACCGGTGCGGGAGCCGGCGGAGGAGGGGGGTCATCCGGCGTTAAGCAGGAACCGATGACGGAGGAAGCCCTGAGCCGAGCCTTCGTGGCGGCGCTAGGGGCACTCCAGCAGACGCATGGGAGCGGAGGAGGCCGCGGAGGAGGGTACACTGCCGGAAACTATAGCGGTGGAGGGTACGGCGCGGGGAACTATGGCGGAGGAACCTACACGAGCGCGAACTACAATAGCGGGGGGTACGGCGGAGGAACAGGTCGAGGAGGACCGGTCTTCGGATATCAGCCTCAAGGACCTGGGCGCGGAGGGTATGGCGGCGGAGGCGGAGGGTACAGCGGAGGCGGAGGGTTCGGCACCAGGACATGCAACTTCTGCGGCGAGCTGGGACACTTCCTGCGCGAGTGTAGGAAAGTCGGGGAATACCTCCGTGCGGGGAAGATCAGACTCGACGACGAACAGAAGATATGCTTCCCTGATGGGGGTTTTGTGTCGCGGTATGGAGGTGGATTCCTGATCGACGCTATCGAGGCGAGGATGGCTAACTTGGGTGGCGGAGGGAATGGAGGGCAGCGAGCCCATCTAGCTAAACACCCTGTTGTTACCCGGCCACCCGACGTGAGATTCACTTATCGCTGCCCGGTCACCCGACGTCGGCCGACGGTTTGACTCCGCCGTTGGTACCCGGGTCGGCCGATGATCAGACTTTCCGGGCGGGTGCGGATGGGCCGACGTATGAAACTGAACAAGCACCTCCGGGGCGGCCGGCCAACACGGATTGCTAGCTCCTTACATTGCCTGCTGACGCTCCCCAGTCGGCCGACGATGAGATTTCTATCTGCAGCCTCAGCGGCCGACGGTCAGAAATTCCATGACCTGCCGGGCGGCCGACTGTGGGACAGACGGTTCTATACCCAGTCGGCCGACCTCTGAACAGCCCACTCTTCTCGCGGCGGCCGCGCATTGGCTAGACAATGGCAGTCTGATCGGCCGCCCTGCTGAGGAACCGTAATCATTCTCAAGCCGACCAGTGTCGCCCGGTCGGCCGATATCTTCCCCTGATCAATCATGCCCTCACAATACATCCGGATGGTGGCACGTCGCCCGGATATTTCTCGAGCCACAAGTGACTCCCCGTTATGTCCCGGTCGGCCGAGTGTTCATCCGATGGCTTTCATTGTGCAACAGCCGACACACACAAGGCGATGCCGCTCTCCTTACTTTGTTGGCTAGGCCGGCCAACCAGACCAATTTACATGTCGGCCGGGCATGAGGTATGCAACTCCACTGGATTGGAGGCGGATCGGCTTCGAGCGCGCTTGGTTTTCGCTGGTTCGGACACGATCCGCGGCCGTTTCGTGGGACGGCGAGCTGTGCGCGTGCTTCGCCGGGAGGATGTGGTCGCAACCGATGCTGCATCAGACTCCGCCCCCCCGTCAAACTCCGAATCTGGAGGACCTGTCGCCTCCGACGCCTCCGACGCCTCCGACGCCACCGACCGAGACCGTGAACGCTTCCGAGGGTTAGCTTTCCGGCCGGTGGGCGTGCGTGAGCGGGTGCGGGACCGCCCGCGCTTGACTTCATGCGTTCCCGATGTGTCGTAGTCGACACAGGAATTGTGCCCCCGGAAGCACTCGTCGCAGCTCCTCCCCGGGCGCTCGGGGTCGCTTGAGATCCAGCAATGCATGGCCCGGCATTTGATGCATTTCGTGGGCTGCAAAAGCAATCAGCGGTGCGCAACCCAATCCACCTGCATAACTTACGCGGACTCTCAGCCATCTCTGCCGACGTCTGTTTATTATATCCTTGTGCTCCCAGTTGAAATACGGCATATTTTCCCGGGCACGCTCGGCTGCAACGACCTTGGCGAGATACTGGCAATCTCTCGTTTTGATCGCTCTTCGAATGCGTTCCTCCAACTCCTCACCGGGTGTGATGTCCGGGTTGAAGGTGGCCTGGCCTTCCGAATCCGCTGCCTTGAGGATGCGGCCCGGTTCCTCAGGGACTGCGAGCGATGTCAGGGACACTGTTACACACCACGGAAATAGTGCTTACCATCAGTCGTCTCGTCATCATCGTCGACAGATGTGACGCTTTGCGCTCGCCCCTTTCCGTGAGCATTGCTGCTCGAGGCCTTCTTCTTGGGCACCGCGGGCTCCGTTTCGTCGTCGTCGTCCACAGAAAGGACGCTCTCCGCTCGCTTCTTGCCTTTCGCATTGCTGTGGGGGGTCGTCTTCTTCGTCCGCGGGACCGCCTCTCCCTCCGCATCCGAGCCCTCGTCAAAGTCGACGGTCCGCGCCCGTTGTTTTCCCTTTGCTTTAGCAGACGCGCCGCTGCTCAATTTCTTCGGCCCGGGCTTGGGCCGCTCTTTCATTGACTCCCCGTCATCGGACTGCTGCTTGTGGGACTTCTTCGCGTGCGGTGTGGACGGCCTCGCCACCGGCCGGGCGGTCTTCACTTGGGGGCGGACCGGGGGTGGGGGGCTGACTTCCGGCTCGCCGAAATCATCGACGGCCATGTCGTCCTCATGGCCCTGTGGCAGATCAAATGTGACCGCAGGTTGCGGGCGGGAATTCGAGGGGAGGGGCTGCGGTGAGGCCACAACATGTGATGGCTTGCCCGACGCGGAAATGGGAGGGCCACGAGGGGTATACCACGGATTCTTGAGGATCCTCGGGTCATCCCTCGAGATACGGGCGACGCGCCCATGATGGTCAGGGTATGGCGGTTGAGCCGCGAGTTCTTCCATGACTGAGATCACCAATGGCGGCACATACACCGGCCACTCGTTTGCGGCCGCGGATGCCACAGCCCTGGCGGCATCGTTCTGGCAAACCTTTTAGTTCATGCCGCACGGTCGGATACAACGGATGTACGCACCCCCATTTTTTGACCTTGTTCCACTGGTCCGTATCCCCATGTTAAGTATGTCCGGAGCATCTAAATCCAGACACTTACAATCTTCTGCATTGTTTTGGAGTCCTGGGCCTCGGGCATCTTCTCCGCCTTGACGAACCCGTCTAGTTTCTCCTCGCACTGGGCGAACAGTCTCGTGACTTGCTCCGCGGTCACTACCTTCGGGCCGTCTTCGTCCGGACCGGGATTGTTCGTCGATGCCATTGGAAAATGAAAGCTGAGGGATGAGCGAAGCAGCGGATTGCAGAGCGGGAGCAGGCAGAAGTTGGTGATGGAGTGTAGGAGAGAGGAGTGCGCGCCAGCAACGCACTGTGGGAACGCAGCCACAAACACGTGGTCCGTGTGGCTGAGCCGCGCCGCGGGCCATCCGATCGATCTCACTGATGCGATCTGAACCAACCTCTTGCTACCTACGCCCATGTCAAAATCAAGAGTTGCGCTTATGAAGCGGAAAGACGGTAAGTGCTCGTGTTAACTGGTATCGTAAGTGCTATTAACAGCTCGATGCTTAGGATCACCGGGTATGCCCACGCCAGCCGGTGACACCTCGGAGAATCGCGATCGTAGTGAAAACTGGCCACAAGAGCTTCATGAATTACTTGATTCCACGTCGGTGCGTAGATGAGTTTTGTTCCACACGGACAGGTCGCTCAATCAGTGCGGTCGCTCAGGATGCCAGTGAAGTCGAGGACGACCAAGGTGCGTCGGATTCCAATGGCTAAGCCGGATGTCATATTGACTCGGGTTCACTATTCCAGTACCACTGGTCATACCTCCAAGACCCGGTACACTTCCCCCGACCGAAGCGGATGCCATGGTGAGTACGGTCACCGTGAAACTAGCAATAGAATTGATAAGGGTGCAGGACACAACTCCGGACGGTGGCCCGTCATCAGGCGATGTAGATAATGGTGCCGGTGCTGATGCCATTGTCGTCTCCGAAGGGGAAACCAAACAGGCGTCACCACCCCGCCGTCGGTTCGTCATGCCCGTCCCGCTCCCGCGGCGACGGCCACCGGGCGCTCCCGTAGTTTTTTGCCCTGACTCAGACCCGGAAAGCAATGCGCCGGTAAGACCGTCAATTGGCCTGACCAGGCCCGGAATTACTGGCGTTGCCAGTAGAGTGACGGATGCTCTGGGATTGTCGGACACTGATTCCGATGTTGAAATGTTAGACAAGCCCCTGGCTATGCCGGCGAGATCTGCAAGCACCGTTGCCACCTCGGTATCGAGCGGGCGGGCCGGAACACTGGAGTTGTCCGATGGCGACTCGGAGGGCGAGTCGGATGTAGACAAGCCCCTGGCTATGCCGGCGAGATCTGCAAGCACCGTTGCCACCTCGGTATCGAGCGGGCGGGCCGGAACACTGGAGTTGTCCGATGGCGACTCGGAGGGCGAGTCGGATGTAGGAGGAGCCGTGGGCCGATTTGTCATCCCCAGCAGGCCAGCCCGCTTGGGTTCGTCAACACCCGGGTCAAAGACGAGTCGTACCGGCTCCCGCCTCTCTACGACGATCGACTTGTCAAGCGGCGATGAATCCGAATCGGGGGCGGACGTGCAACCGTTACTCATCCCACCCAGGCCGGCAAGAGTGGCTACGCCGGTCGCGACTCCGCAGGCTACACTGGTCGCGGCTTCACAAGCTGGTCATGCCTTTGCGCATCCGCAGTTCTCCCCTGCTCGTGCTGCAACGCCGTTGGATTTATCATCAGGTGACGAGGAAACGGAGCTGGGAGGAATCGAGCAACCATTAGTCATCCCGCCCAGGCCGGCGAGAACAGCTACGCCGGTCGCCGCTCCGCACGCCGGACATTCCTCCAGGCTTCCGCAGTTCTCCCCTTCCTTGGGACCCTCAACGATGAACGCCGGTCGTGGGCCACCGCGGGTTCCTGCCCGATTCGGAAATATATTTGGGCTTGGGGCAACTGGCCCAAGGGATGAAGCTAGGATGCCTGCCGGGATCCGAATTGAACGGGTCTTGCTGGGTAGCATCCCGGATGGACAAGAACCGCGGTTTGAAGCTACGTTATCGAGGGTAAGCCCTCCATATTGCCTGGACTCCTTGTGTGGGTACATTCAAACTGATGACCACTTGGACACGGCAGGCTATCCCCCTCGTGGAAGAGGCTCGGGTGTACATGCATTGAGCAGTAGCCCGGCCCGCGACTCCCCTGCGTCTGACCATGTCGCTGGCCCGTCAGGCTTCGACGCTCGTGTAGGTGAGTGATTTGTACCGCTATTCTGCTGCGGGCCGCCGTTCGCGGGCGTCCGGTGGCGGGCGTCCGGTGGCGGGCGTCCGGTGGCGGGCGTCCGGCGGGGGGCGTCCGGCGGCGGGCGCGGTTGTTGAGCCGCTGATGTTGCAGCTTTCTAATAACGTTGTTTAACTTTCCAGGTAGCAGTTCTCCATTCCGCGGGACTTCCTCTGAAGCCGGGCGATCGCAGTCCCCTAGCGGGAGGCCTGGGCCTTGGCGCACCGCAGTATCACCATCGGAGGAGGAATTTCAAGGTAGGACGATTCCATGTGGAGCATTCCGTTCTCTCTCATATGTGCCGCAGTTGCCCACGGAATCGTACGGGGTCCCACGTACGAAGGCCCCCTTCCGACGATGCTGCGAAGGCAGATGCAGGAGAGCAATGTTGTGAAGGCTCGATTGGAGGCACTGCGAGAAATGAAGAAGGCAAACAGGCAAGGCGCGGAAATGCTGCAAAGGCTGAGGGAGCGCTGCGGCGCGGATAGAGAGTAGTGGAACTTGGATAACCGTTGTGTATAATACATTGCTTGCAGCCTAAATTCGGACGTACGACCATCCGGGGTGGGACTAGGAGACCCGTTCATGTCAACGTAGACAGAATTAATACATCTCCGTTCCTCCGGGGGTTACTACATACTCTTAGCTACATAACGGCGGCCGCCTGTTAGCATGCAACAATTGGACTACGATCGTCGCAATAGCAATGAAGACGGTGATTATATCCTGCTCTCGGCCGGAGCGGATGTGCATGGTAGGGTAGGATAGCGGCCGGGTACATACTAACAGGGATGCGGTCGGCCCCCAGAGTTCCATCATTGCACATCAAACATTGGCACACACTATTTACAATGGAGTGGTCCGGGGTGCGCCGATCAGTCATCAGGCCACTTTGCAATTACAACCGGCTCGCTAGTGATACTTGAAACAGTGGAGATCAACTCCGTACGGCTGCAGCCCATCATGTCAGCCGGTCGGAAAGTAATCCTCGTGGCCTGCCCCTTAACTTCCGGTGGTCTGAGAAACCACTGAACGTCCTAGCCACAGGGAGAGGGATGTAGTTTCGGACCAGCTCGAATGTCAGCCCACTCGGTACGCATCCAGAATCTCACACCCGGCCGAACAGACAGCATCCAACCCGCAGAGTTAGAGGAGGAACCTGGCACTTCAAGGCCTGGTTCCCCGAGCGGGGTCGCCGGACCTTCCAATGGTGGGGGGGCAATTGACCAGCCGCGCGTCGTCCCAGCCTACGTCGGAGAGCCCCCAAGTCGTGAGTTATCTGACACTGACATCATGTGTTCCCGCTCATATCTTCCAGGACTTGCTGCGCTGCCTTCAGTTGCGGGGCAGGGGATCGTCATGCTCCAGTCAGCAAGCGCCGTATCTCAGGAGCTACACAAGTTGCGACAGGAGAATGCGGAGCTCCGGAGATGTACCAACAGCTCCGGACGGAATTCAACGATTTCCGTGAGCTCATCCTTGGCCCTGGTGAGTCATATCGGCTCGGCTTGTCATAGCGACACTGACCATTGCTTTCCAGACTGTCTACTCCCCGCCCATGAAGCGGATACGGGATCAGTGCCGCCCGAGGCTTCCGGTTCCGGTACCCGTCATGATCCCGAGGTCCCCATGCAAGATGTCGACAATGACGTCGACAGAAATGAAGACCGGGCTCCGTCCCCCGCTATCAAAAACGACGTCGACATGAATCACGACCGTGCTCCGTCCGCTGCAATCGACAACGACGTCGAAATGGATCACGACCGGGCTCCCTCCGCCTCTATCACACTTCCCGAGGGAACCGAGGACGTAGCGGCCGGGATGGAGATGGATTGGTCGGCGGAGAACGAGACTGGACAGGCCGACGAGAGAAGCCCATCCCGAGGTGTGAGTCCGGTCCACGACACTCCCCCTCCTCCCAGGCTGTCCCAGCAAGCCCCACGCAGTCCATCTCGTCTGCAATACCACCCGTCATCGTGGGCGAGGACTCACATGACTCCCCGGCGGACTTGCGTCCCAGCAGCTCGATCCTGTGGTGAACGAGCGCCCCCGGAGCCGGCGTATGCTCCCCCGCCCCTTCCTCCCTGTGACGGCAATGTCGCAGGCGGTAGTGAGCCCCCGCCCCCGAACTCGCAGGATACCGTGCCGGATTCTCAGCCACCTGTCGCCCCGTCACAGGATGTCCTTCCCGGTACTACCCCGGCCGAGCAGCAGTCGCCAAAAGACGCCCAGGAGAATGTCGTGGACACCCGAGCTAACGAGCCGGATGACGAGCCGGGTATTGGGCCACAGGGCAGGTCCGCAGAGCCGGTGAGCAGCACGGTGCTCAATGCACCTTTACATGCTCACAGCGTCGTGTAGACAGGCCAAAGCCAAGATGGGGAACACCCGGAATCGCCCAGTGTTACACCGAACGCGGCCGGACTCCAAGGGACTCGGACATGACAGCGCAGCGGACCGAGCCAGCGGATGAGGGTGATATTGCGATGACATCCGGGGAGAACGACCCCGGAGCCAGCAATGATCACGGCGGGGTTGCAACTCCACCGATGGTCCCTCATGGACGACGTTACAGGGGTATGCGGACGAGTAGTACATTCGTAGTGTAACACATAATGTACAATTAGATGCTATATATATTGGTGGACAGTCCTGATCCTGGAACGAAACACCTCAGGAACATGAAATCGAACTTGGACAGTGTATCGTACCTCGCAAGCTTGCCCGCCACCGGACGCCCGCCACCGGACGCCTGCATTCCAGGCGTCGGACATCAACATTCCAGTGTGACCAGCCGACCGAGGCAGAGGTTGCCCGCCCGGAGTTGCCGGCAGCTTGGCTTCCCTGGTGCATTAAGTTATGGATATGGTGATATGGCCTAATTTCGACCAATAGGATCTCGTGTGGCGCCCTCCGCCACACTTGGCCACGTGATCGTGGTTCTATTGCCAGCACACTTGATCAAACGCCCGTGGTTACCTTCCTACCTTTGTTGATCTCCCCGACACATCGCTCATATCACATCCGTTATGTCTCTCCTCCACTTCGTCATCACACCACGCTGGGCCGGCGGCAGCTGCTGACCCCTTCAGGGTACAACAATCCCTGGACGCCAACTTGCTCCTCGCCGCATACGGCCGGAACATCGAAACCCGTTTGAAGCAGTCCGAAAACCCCCGTCTTCAAAAGAAAACGATTGCGCGGTTGTGAGTGACGCAATCATGTGAGCAGGCATAATCATGTTTCCCAATGACAGTGGGATGGCATAGAAACTCAGTGGTCAGTCGTAGTCAGATTGCACTGGATTCACATCTTAAATGGACATTAGTTAAAATAGGCGCATATTGGATCCGCGTCAGCGAGAGAGTGGGTACTGTACGTACCCCCGCTCGCCATTTGGCGATGGAGGAAGTGGCCGGCAACATGAGCGGGGACTACCCCCCGATGGCCACATCAAATCGGATGACCCAGATCTTCACGAATGCTGGTATCTGCAAGCCCCCGCCCGGGTCGCCCGCTGCCCGGTCTCACCGGGATGGCGACCTCCACTGCCCCCGGAGCGTCCATCCCGAACATGTCCGAAAAGCATTACCGCTGGTGCATCGCAGCCTACGACATCCCACACGGCGCATGCAGTGCGGTTTGGCTCCCACACGCCCGCTCTCGTCCCGCGGAGCGTAATGACCCGGAGCAGGCGGACGTTACTCCAGGCACTGCAGTGCGGCCCGGACAGGTGAAGCGTTCGACAACGGGATGGGATTACCTGGAGATATCGGATGACCAGGTGGGCATGATGTGGGGTTGGATGGTGGCTGCACCGGTAACGTTTACAGGGCAATGTCACGACAACAACAATGATACCAGCGACAGGAAGACGGTTCAGGAGCCGGAATTCCGACGGACGGAGAATAGCGGCCGGGAAGCTAAGGGAAGCGTCCGACGAGCGACATCGACTTCAGTGACGAAGAAGACCAGTTGCTGGAGTCCGAGATACCGACCAAGACAATCAACCAGCACGGGCAGGCCAAAAGAAACAACGGGCAGATAGTGCAACATTGAAGGTGCAGCAAGTCAAGCGAATGCTCGTGAGTGACTCAGGAATGTATTGATTTGTATCCCCGCTCAACATGTTATTAGCGGTTCTCCTTCGTCCTGCACTGAAGAACCCGCTTCCGGCGGACCGTCAGCGGGCAACGTCAATCACGGCCCGGCGGATCAATACAAGGTCGACCAGGCCCTCAAAATCCGCAACATCAATGCCCTCATCGATATGTACAGGGGAGCGGGCTGTCAAGCGCCTGCCCAAGTTCAACTGGGACGCCGGGAAGATTCAGGGACGGCGCAAAGCTATCTGGCTGAGGACCATGGTGAGCTTGAATCGTTCTTTTATCGCCGGGCACTCATTAGCCGTTACAGGAGCCTCCATGCACGCGCTGCTCTGGCATTCACTGCTGGATCTCCAGTGATCCCAACGCCAAGTGTCCTGCTACAAAGTGTGACGAGTGCGCCCGACTGAGCAAAAAGTGCTTTACCAGAGAGGCCCGCGATCCGTCCCCGGTTGACGAGGTCGGGGCGGGTCGATCCAGCACACCAACCCCGCCCACCGCAAACACCCAACGCCGACCCTGATCTCTGTCTGCTCTGTCCGATGCAAGTGGCCCTCCGGAATCCACCGTGGAGGCGCCCGCGGAGCAGGACAATGCTTCAACCACCGCTACCACCACTCAAGGAAGCGGGGACGAATCATGCGCTGCCAGGCAGTGTGCGTTGGATGCGGACGAACCGCGCACCTTCGTCCGCGCATACGTTGGGGCACCCCCACCAAGTCAGTGATTCATCCATTCCGCTGTGATGATTATTTACATGTAATGAACTTACAGGATTGGCCCGTCAACGGCCGGACAGAAGTCCCGAGGGGATTGATCTCCTGGAAACAATGGCGGATGTGTCCTACGAAGTCCGAGACCTGCGACAGGAGAATGCTAAGATACGCACCATGTGTGATGAACTCCGGCAGGACTTCGCAACCCTCCATGAACACATGAAAGCACGCAGTAAGTCGGACATGATGTCCCGGGGCCATACAGCACTGAAATCAAATTTGCAGACAATATCCGTGCTGCCAAGCACGGTGAACACCGGTCCGGAGGAGCAGCAGCGTCCGGGACAGCGTTTGACAATGGCGCGCAGACTGACATTCCTGCCACATCTGATCCATCTGCGCCGAGGAAGGAAGGTCTCCCGGAAACCTACTTCGTAAGCAAGGCCGTCCGCGAGGTTCGCGATAACTCAGTTATCGCGCCCGCTACACTCCGGGATGCTTCCGCGGTGTGCGTACAGGATCGCTGCGACATGGCCATTAGGGATGATATTAGCAATATGGACATCTCAAGCGATGATCCCGATGGAGTGTGACACCCGCATTTCCAGAACAAGATAGTACTATATGCATGTAACGTACAATGACGATTTTGATTACATGTAACCTGTGACGGATTCCAACATGGATTTGTTCCGCTTTTGGTGAATCCGTAACCTTCAGTGCACCCAGAATGGAGGGCGGCCTCCGCTGGTTCCCGCCACCGGACGCCCGCCTCCGGACGCCCGCCACCGGACGCCCGCCACCGGATGCCCCCCATCGGACGCCCGCCGGAATAGATGACGAGCCAGTTGGTGGCAGGTGCAGCCGTTGCAAACGCGACAGGTGTCCTGCAATAGTTGATGGTATCTCTGTGTCGCCGCCTGCATCGTGATCGGCCCGTAGTCAGCATTGTGGAGGTGGACATACATTACGGACTGTGGCACGGGACATTGTACAATATGTATTAAACAAACAAACAGATTCGGAGAGGGTGTCCGACATGTTACATTCATTACTCTTTGTGCATGTCTTCCAACCCACAGAACTCGGTAAAGCCACGGACAAAATAGTCAGAATCCTCCATCACCGGGTGCAGGGCATCCCGCGCATACCAGTCACGCTGCTCCCGCTCACTGCCCTCCAATACTGATTCCCAGAACCTGATTTCGGCTGAAATGTACTCATCCATGATCGCGTATTGCGCCACCTGGGCTTCAATGATGTCGTCCAAATACTGTAGCTTTTCCCCGGGATTCAACACCTTCGTGTATTCGCCGTTTTCGAGTTGTTTGTACTGCCCGGGTGGACTGTCCGGAATCGGCATGACCATCGGCGGCAGTAGTCGCAGGTTCAGCTGATTGATGTAGTGTGCGATTCCCTACAGGTCACCATGTGAGTTCGCGTGCCAGCGAGAGAACCGTGGTTACGCACGTCCTCTTCCTCTCCGATGTGCCTCCGTTCAAGTAACATATGCATGTTCTCCTCCCTCGTGATCTCCGTGTCGAGCAACTTGTTGACGGCCTCGACTCGGGTGGTCTCAGCGTCGAATGTGTCCCTCATTTCTGTGCGAAATGCAGAGAGGGAGACGTTGTCTGGCGGGATGAGCACGTTCCCTTGTCACCCAGTTAGGGTGGGTCCGAGATATGCAAGAGCCAGCGGCACTTACCGCCATCCCCTCCATGCTGCCGGGTCATCTGGGGCACACCCGGCGCTCCTTGAATTCTGTCGTGCTCCATTGGTACGTCTTTAAGTACAACGGTGTCCCTCAAGTGCTCCAGTGCAGCAGCCCCGGATCCTTCTGGGCCATCGAGGACCTCCCAAAACCGGCTCATGGCGTCCGTAAGTCCTAACACCATCAGGGTGTCTTCATTGGACAGGCACTGGAACCCTGTCATGAGCGCTGCCATACACTGCTGAAACACAATGTCAGTACCTTACATCAAATGAAAACAAAGCTTAATACAGTACCATTGATTTGAGGAGCATGCGATCCTCGGCGGCAGTGCTCCCGGGGGCCCCGCTTGACTGCGCCGCTGCTTGCGCTGCAGCGACCGCATTGTCATGAAACACGACTTCAATTTCTTGCGCGGTTGGGAAGGTCATCGTATCGAGAGTAGGAAAGGCGGATGAGACGAGTTGTGTGGGAGATCAAAGTAGAGAGCAAGGAGCACTACTGATCCACGAAATCTGATTAGCACTCTCCGGTTCGGGTATTCTTTCCCATGCAGCCACTGGTGCGATGCCACAGGCGTCAAAATGACGCCTGTTTATCGATGTCGGCAATGTGTGATGCCCGCCAGCCGTGCTAATCAAACTGCATGGGGAAGGGATGCAATGTAGCATCCACGACCTTTGGCGACTTCTCATGGCTGTGGCTTACCATGCGAGCGTGCCCCGACACCCGCCGCCGGACTCCCGCCACCGGACACCCGCCACCGGACTCCCGCCGCCGGACGCCCGCTGTCGGACACCGGACGCCAGACAGAAGGAAACCGTGGTGGAATTTCTGCATACCCTCATGACCTAGGATCAGTTGCACTCTGAAGCAGTTCTGCGTACACATCCAGTCGTTAACGTGAGATGATACATTGACTGTCTACGCTGGGAGGATGACTTCCGGCGGCGCGTTCCGGAGGTTATCGAGCTTCTCCCGGTACGCACGGGCGTAGGCAATGGAGTCGAGACAGCACTTGTCCGCCCGCTCATCGATATACTTAGTGTTTGAAAGTCCAGTCCATGGACTGGAAAAAGACTGGGACTGAACTGGGACTGGCCTTAGAAAGACTGGACTGGACTGGTCAAAGTAGGACTGGTCCTACCCAGTCCAGTTGCAGTCTTCCAGGGTTGGGCAAATTGAAGGGACTGGTCAAAAGACTGGTTGCAACCAGTTGCAACTGGTCTTTGGCCACCCCCCTAATATGCTGGTGTACATGGCCAAATGGGATGTTTTTGGGGTCATAAATAGCAGTAATACATAGGATAGGCACCAGATGGTGGACATAGTATGGATGATGTGGCCTATTTAGGCAACATGTATCATCTGTCTATGCACCTCCACCTATGCCTAATATGGTAGGTATACCCATCTCACCCTTACTGACATCATATGCCTTGCCTGTATCAGTCATTATGGACTGAACTGTGATGCTCCCATGGGATACACACCATTGCCTGTGGTCATATACCATATCACAGTAGCTTAAGTCATTTTGTCAGACACAATCACTTGAAAAAACCAGTTGCAACTGGCAAAGGACCAGTCAGGACCAGTTGGGACTGCATGTGCAGTTGCAACCAGTTGCAACCAGTCTTTGGAGGCAACTGGACTGCAAAGGACTGGTCGCAGTCAGTCCAGTCCCAGTCCTACCATCTTGGGGTCAATCTAGGACCAGTCCCAGTCCCAGTCTTTCCTCCAAGGGGTCAAAAGACTGGACTGGACTGGACTTTCAAACACTAGATATACTTTCGGAATTCGAGCCCGTAGATGCTCGTCCAGTATCCGCGACCGGAGTGAAAGCCGCCAATGTACTCCCATGCGCATTGGGTGTTGCGGCGGCTAGGGCGCAACCACGCTGCGTAAGTCCCGATGATCGCTAGCCCCCACGGCAGCTCATGCTTCGTGAGGTCCACATGAGCGACGACTCGCGCCATGTACGATTGCAGCTGTTTCAATATAGCAATCTGGTCGTCGATTGTCGGAATCACCTCGTTGGGATGCAGCGACCCGACTTCAACAACGAGGTGTGGCACCTCCCGCTCCAGCTCCTGACCCCCTGGCTCTTTGAGGCCGTAGTACGAACTGATGAGGAAGTCGGGGTACTTCGTGCCGGACTTCGTGCACGAGTACACAATCCCTCCTGTCAATAATCAGTTGCGGTTGCGTCCGGAAGCCCTGCAGAAATTGTACATACCGTCCCAGTTGACACTAGTCGGGGGCCGCCCAGCCAGCGCTTGACCGGCGGCCGCTCGCTCGTCATTTCCACACCCGCCCGGCACCGCATCAAGGATATGCTGTCCGGGGACAGACGGGCGGAGCGGCTCTTGTGGCTTGATCAAGGTACGGGGGAATCACAAGGTAAAGTACCTTGTCCACGCGCCATACTGGGAAAATTGCGTGGAGGCCGGCTTCAAATGCCAGTGGTGGACCATTTCGCGGAGTTGGTCATCCACATCGGGGTGACCGTCGAAAGAAAACTGGACATAGTAAGTGTCCTTCGCGTGCACGATCGAAGCGGCCCGGCGTACCATGTTTCCAATGTTAGCCTGTCCGACCACAGCGGTGAGACTTGCGCTGCTGAGATCCGTGGCGGCGCTGTGCGCCCTTTTATACACCAAGCACATCACACGTCGGAATGCCTGGCTTGCTAATGTGCCGCTGTTGAGTGCGGTCACAAGGGCCACATCGGAGGCATGCCTGCTGCCCAATCAAGGGGCGTGCATTGTGTCGTGGAACACAACCCGACGTCGCATGCTTATCCACTGTCCACAGAAGCCCGGATATGTCTTCCGTAGAAGAGTACTGGGTGATACACAGCTGATGCCCCGTCCGGACTGCATTGAGATAGCAATTTGCGCTGCACCCCACATGTGCAGCGCACTCATGGGACCCGCAATACATGCCGCGATAGTAGCAGCTACAATCAAGGCAATGACACCGGCCTTCCCGGGGTGCTTTCCAGCCACGGAGTTAGTGCCGACGACAATATACAGAACATGTGTAAATATATTTGGGTATGTTCCGTCCGCGACATGGGACCACTTTGTTCTCACACCCTAAGTTTGTTTGACATCCGGCAGGAAACACTCACCGGCACATGTACCATGATAGCGGCACACGGGAGAAGTCCATATCGTGGGTATTATTCACGTGACTGACTTAGTAACACAACCATCATGACATAGCACTAGAGTCTATAGGATCTACAATCCACACCCCCACAAGCTGCAGCCACAAAGTACAAGGTGAGTGTAAGTGCCTGTGACATGTACTACAGTTGTCTGATGCACCTCCACAGCATGGTTGGCGTCATCTCTGGCTACATACTGCCGGCGGAGAGCCTGCACTGGTTCTGCCAGTGCTGGGTCGGTCCCTTTGTGCCCGAGGAAATTCCGGAGGTCGAGGGGCCTCGCGAATTCAATGCATTTGTGAACGACATACTGTGCATGATCGACTGGATTTGGGGTCTGGAGAGGAGCAAGCTCGTGCCTCCTGTGAGCTGTGAGTACCATCCCCAAGCACACGGGCTCCATTACTGAGCCCCCCTCAAAACAGGGCTTCTCCCGGACCGGGGGAAAAACTGCTGTCATCGTCACGGGATACGAGGATCAGAAGAAGGGGGTCTCCTGGATCCGGAAGACGACAGGCAGGTTCGCGCGCGCGACCGGTTTGTGAAACACGCGAA